TCCCATTCATAGGTCCAAAAAGTTTGCATAATCTTTAACTAAAGTTCACAAACAGAGCATAAGTATTTAAACCTAATCAACTTAGAAACCTAAAAACCCAATCACCATATTAATCAATTCAATTCATCAAATTCAACATATTAATCATGCCAACACAAATTCAAACATACAGGGGATACCCATGAAATGTATAACACAAAATTTCTTGAACATATTTTGAATTTGAATATGGATGCCGATGATTTAGCAGCTAATGTGATTAACATAAAAAATTGTTTCATGTTATATATAACAACAAAAACTACTAAAATAGAAGTAAAAGGGCAAAACCCAAGAAATCAAAACTTACACAAAGTCTCTGGGTCAACAGAAGATATCCGCCTTCCCCAACCTCCGTCCTCCGCCCACCGCCGATAATTCCACATTGCCACGCAACTGACTCTGTCGATTTCCGCTCATCTTTTGTGGTCATCAGTTAGTTCAATGGTTGTGTACCCATCTCCAATGCTTCCAATCTCATTTATGCCGACTGCTATCTTTTCAATTTCTCCGGTGTCTAGTAATTTTTTCTCTAATTTCTCCGTTGGACGATTTTTGATTTCTAGGGTATATGAAGGGCGGACAGTAACATTTTTTTTTTGGACACTTGTAGAGTTGTAAAAATATGAATAAAAAATATAGATTTTATTGATAAGGCCAACTCAATTCTATTTGGATTAATTCGTAAACTAGAGGAAGACCCCTCGTGCAATCGTGCCATTGGCGCTGGTTTGGATGGGTCTGGAATGAAATATAATGGGTAAATTTTAAAAGTAAAGTGTTTGTCAAAAGAATTGAAATGAAAGTATGATGTTGTAATTGGTTAAGATTTTCAAAACCCAATAGTACTACCGTTATGCAAAAACTCATCTTGGTTGCATTAGAAACTGCTAATGATTTGTAGGTTGTGTACTAAAACATTTTCCTCTATTCATAACATTGTCATAGCATTTAGGCAGACAACGTCTTCTTGATCTTCTTCCACTTGGCGAATCTAGAATATAAAAACACGTGGTTCCTTATATAAGTAAAGTGAAAAGACAAAAATATTTATAGCAGAGCAGGGCGGGTCGAACCAGTAAAAAGCGGCCGGTTTGCGTTCATCCGGACCGTTCGAACACCTTAAAAACCAGTACAAAGCGGCCTACTTGACCCTAAAATCGGACTTTTACTATATATATATATATATATATATATATATATATATATATATATATATATATTACAAATGGGTTTCTTTTCATTTTAGAAAGTCTTCTTGCAACTACCTGTTATTACAGCCAATAATGTATTTTTACTAGTTTGAGTAGTTTCCTTACGACCCTTTTGAGATATCCGATTTACAATATCAAATAACTACCACTTTTTATCTTTGTCTCCAATTTGGAATGGGTTTTGATAAAAATTAACCATATTCTTTGCAAATTTAAGTAAAACATTCCACCATTTCTTTTATTTATTTGTATCTTATTTGTCTAAATACCAAAAGGTAGGTCCTAATTTTTTTCAAGGTAGGTCATAATTTTTTTATATATATAAATAGTAAATAAAATTAAAAAATTAGGTGGGTCCTAGGACCCACCTTGATACACCATAGCTTCGCCCTTGAATTTATTCCTAAAACTCATCTCTAGATATGGTGGTGGTTTGATCAAATTCCTACAAACCAGTAAAAGAAGATCAATGAATACCTGATGAAATGAAGTTTCAGAAGATAAGAATGGAATTTATATAAAAGAAAAGAAAGAAGACGAAAGAACCCTCATGAACAGCAGATCCACGGAATGTATGCAAAGCATCTTTTGGATCAGAAGTAGAGTAACAATACTCCAAAGTATTCCAATATTCATCAACAACTTTTCTACTTCCAACAACAAAATCATGTACGACATGAGGCTTCATCTTCATTTTCTTCTTAAGGCATCCATATCATTTTAAAAAGAAAATTACTTGAAAGCAAAGTACTTCAATATCGAATTCACTGATTGTTGTCCATTAGAGAGTCAAGAACGAAGACACCCAGACACATACCAACGACGGATAAAGGTGTACCTTTTAGAAACACACGTGTCTTCTACACATATCTTGTAAAAGTTTTCTTAAAACATAGAATTGTCGGCCCCAGTTTCCCCAGAAGATGTAACCTGTAGCCAAAACCATAACTGTATCTCATCATCCCAAGGTGATGGTCTGATATACAAAACATGGAGTCTTTTCTAAAAGATCGGACACACGTACAAACTGTGATGCTTCATGCCAAAAGAAACAACAAAAATTGAATCAACAAGTAAGACTAAATCGAGCGTTAAAACTAAGGCTAAGTATAAGTCAAAGGTAAAATTTGGTCAAGGACATAATCAAGAACATACTAGTATTGATCTAAAAAACCCCTAGTCATGTTTGTACTGATATAAAACTTCTTAAATTTAAAGAAATATCTTTTTCCATAAGTTGTTTATATTACACCACCAAAACAAATTGTTTACAAATTACAACATACTTAAAACCAACACATTGAAATATAAATCACCAGTGTCTATCCATGACCAATTATCAACCCACCACAAAGCAGTTTGTTCCTGGTCCATTGGCTGTAAGGTATTGAATGGGGGATTCTGCATAAAATAATAAATAAAGGTTAATGATATCATATTCCCGTATACCATGTTAAAGAAAAAAGAAAATTGGTAAATTAAAACGCCTACCAAAGTAAAATCAAGTATGCGCATGCATTTGGTCGACCCTAAACGCCCAATCCTTAGCCATGAAACCACTCATGGGATTACACTCGATATGGCGATACTGAGGGTCCTAGAGTATGGAAAAGTTTCCATGAACCAAATTTATAAGATTAAGATGTTACATAATTAGCAAACATAATTATCTTCTTATAATAGTTTTTCCTAAAAGTACAATATTTTCACCTTATAGGGATGCATAAATCCATGCACGTTATGTAAGGTCTGACCGGTTCTTGGGCAAGTTGGCTCAGATGCTCCTCGATTTTATAAAGGACAATGGACAATTGTATGTATGTGTAATCCCAACTTACTAGTCCCCATGAGTATCTGTGTCACCAATTGGTATTTTATAAATATTATATCAAATATGAAATCATAATTCTAACGTTAGTTACTTGTTACCTTGGCCAAAATCTGATACCAGTGTAAGGTATTCATCTTATACTGGTTGCCTAGGGTATCTACCACAAAATCACCTCTCTAGCATATACACTATGGACACTCGGATATCGTCTTCATTGGATAAGTCATTACACGAGTTATTGAAGAAATGTTGTAATTCGGTAACTTTCATCGAGTATAATGCCAAGACAAAAGGAAACATGCGATGCCTGTGAAGACGATAAATGAGCAGGAAAATACTCCCCGAACTAAAAGCCTGTAACAATACATAAAACTCTAAAAAAGAGTTGATAGTCGTCTATTGAAGTAGAAACTCGTTAACATCAGGCCTAGATAGGTCACTACCTCCTTGCATAACAAGTAATGACATAGTAAATGGGTGACATTCTACACCCATCGAACTATCGTTTGAAATAGGACGCCCTGAAAAGTGTCGCCCTTATTGGTGTAGGGTTAAACCTAGCCTTTATTTCCCGACCCAATTCAGGTTTGTAATTTGTAGTGACAACCGCTTCATATGTACCGTAATGTTGCAAAAATATTAAATTATCATATTGTTCTGGACTTGTTCTACGAATTTCAGATTAGTTCTACGTATTTCGAAATGTTCCCAAATGGGTTTCCCAGGTTTTTACTTATACCAATTGTTCCTAATACAAATATTAATCACACAGAAAACCTAAATACCACCTACATCTACTTTAAACGAAATATTTCCTCTAAAAAAATACTAACAATACATTATACTCTATATAAAATCAAAAACAAAATCATATGATTAAAATAACAACACGTACCCACAAATGCTCTGGCTCTTCACTATCAGAAGACATCCTTCATAATATCGTACGTCCGAAATATGGTTTCCTATAACCCCGATGAAGAATCATGTATGTAACAAATATAGCCGGAGGTTAATTTCCCACAAAAAACGAACCATTGCAACTTTTGGAAACAATTGCTTTTTTCCCTCCAAAAACAACAAAATATCATTTTTTGGTGCCTTTATAAGATAGATATTTTTGGTGATTGCATATGTTATTCTTTTATAACATTACGCTGCAAAAATATGGTCTCAAAGAACAAAAAACGAAAGAAGGGTGTTTCTATAGTTTGATCTTTGATTTTGCATGAAATCCAATTTTTTTTTTTTTTTCTTGGATTATCCAAAGTCTGAATGCTTGTAACCCCATGCAATATGACCGAACTATATATTTCGGAAAGTGTTTATAACACGATCCTAAATTATCCAAGTTGTGTATTGATATTCTGTCCAAAAATCGAACACATCCGTGCGTAAGTGCCCGGAAAAAAAAATGATTTTCCTTAAATATAAAATATGATTTTCACCAACTATTGAAAACATGGAAATTGGAATATTTTAATATCCATAGATGTAATATTCATAGCTTGGAAACGATATATAACATGTCCAAATCAGAGTTAAAGATGAATCATATATCATCAATTCTCAAAATAAGGTCGTTAGAACATAATCTAAAACTTGAAAAGTGAAATCGAGTCAAATAAGTGGGAAAACAAACTTTTAGTGGATTTATATATTAAGGAGTTCCGAACCATCTAGTTGAATTATAGGAATCCAACACGCACACCCATGGACACCGTTCACAAGTGGGACACGTGTAAATGGATTAATTAGCCATTTAATTTCCAATTAACTTCTTGTGGTTTCAAGTTGAAATTCCACTACTATTAATTGAGAGCATGCGAGGTTAATCAGGTACGTTAGTTGAGTAGTTGTTGTACCCTGGAAAACATTTCCAGATGCATATAGACAAATTTGTTTAAGGGAATGATGTCAAACACGAGTCTCAGCTACCTTTCATTCTAACGAGTTAAATGATGCATGTTACATGTTTTACATATTTGAAAAATATAATTACCTGATTCTTTATTATACATTAATTAAATGTCTATAATAAAATAGGCTGCAGGAGATGATATAATAATAATTATATATATCTCCTTTAGAAGAATAGCCCAACTCCAAAACGCCTTATTTCTCATGAACTAAAGGACTGTAAATGGGATACCACATGTTGCTTGTTACATATTCAACAGTCTCTTCCTGCATCCATAATAGCAATGTACTTATATTAATTTACCGATGACAACAAATTATTTTATTTTATTTTATTTTTTACACGTAATAAAATGTACTTATATATTTTTAATTTTATACCAATATGGGCAATGTATTTTGTTTGTTACATATTGTTATTTTTTTGTTGTAAGGAAATGTAAGTAGTGTAAAAAAAAGAGGTTAAAAATCATACCTTTGACATGTGTGCAAGCTCTCTGGGTCCCACCTCACCATGCCCTTCCGCCAGTTCCTCAGCAACAGCTGCCCGAACCACAGCTGCCCCAACTTCAGCAGTAATATGTCGAATACTGCAAATATGAAGTATAAATCACTAATATGTCTAAAATACCCTTTCTTCAGTAAACTCAAAAACAAAGAAATCTCTACCCTTTACAAAAATGTTTGACTATTTATTAAATGTCTAAAATACCCTTCAGCAAAGACAAAAGTACATGTAACAAAAAAATCATGTCTACCCTTCATTAAAGATAAAAAAAATTCGTTTAACTACTAGTTAAATGTCTAAAATACCCTTCCTTACAAAAATAGAGACATCATGTAATGTATACTGTACCTATCGATAGATGGATAAAGTCTGCCCATCTGAATTTCTTCTTCTGTCATATAAGAAGCAAGACTGTACAGAAAGAAGAAAATTATATTATAATATAACAAATATTATGCTACCATTACTTTTAATTCCAGAAAATTCATAAAAGATGAAATATAAACCTATATTATTTATTTTAATTTTTAAATTACCATTCGGAAGCGGCTTGTAACATTCCATCGGATATAATATGAGCACCGGATAGCAGAGATCCCAAACCAACCCTGTATAGGCAAAATATATTGAACAAATATAATATAATAAATTAAATGTAGAACATATTTTTATAACAACATTATTAAAATAACTAAATGACCACTCACCCGGGGAAGAGGTACATGTTATTTGCTTGATTCACATGACCTATTTTCCCATTTCCTGCAAGTGTTATAAATAATAATAATAATAATGCTGTAAGAAACAATTAAGCAAAAAAAAAAAAAAAAAAAGCGGAATAATTTCAAATTATATTGATAGATAAAAGATGATAAAAATGAACATTTTAAGAAATAATAATACCGAGATCAACATGCTCAAAAGGGCTTCCACTTCCAAAAACTATATTTTCACCCGCATACTTGAAAGCATCGACAGCAGTGCATTCAGCTGTTTCATGAGTTATAAATGATTATTAGAAAATTTGTTGGTTGATTAGAGAATGAATCTAAGGGAGCTGTTTGGTTCATGGAATTTAACGGAACTGGAATTAGAGATTCCATTCCATGGTTGCCAAATCCTTCAAATTCAGGGTTTTAAGTGTTTCACCATTCGTATGGTTGGGTAAGAGGAATTTGAATTCGTCCTTTATTTTTTTTGTTAAAAGACCAAAATAGCCTCGGAGTATATGTTGAAAATTTTATTAAAAATAGAAACTTCACTAAGGGCATGTTTGGTTCACAGATTCAAAGGGAATCTGACAGAATTGGAATTCATGATTCCTTTCCATGGTTGCCAAAAGGAAAGAATTCGGTTCCATCAAATTCCTTCAATGTTTGATGGATTTCACCATTCCTAGGCTGGAAGGAAGGAATTCAATTTCATTCTTAATTTTTAGTTTGACAAATGACCAAAATACCCTCATTGTCCTCAAAAACATTATGCGGATAATGGATTCAGAAAGACAAACCATTCAAAGTGGGATTGGACATGGCGAAAATAGCAGGTTTAGCGGAATCCGAGTCTCGCATGGCTCTAAGCACCTTTATTTATATACAAGTAACAACAACAACAAAAAGATTAAGGCTCATGAGTGAATGCAACAAAAGCAAATTTAGAAGTTTTGTAATACTTTTAAAACGGAAAAAATAAATACTAATTTGCAAAATTATCTCATATTTTGGTAATTAGATATCTCAGGACAATGTGTAAAAATATTTCTATAAAGTTAAGGGCAAATCACAGAAAAACATTTATATTTTAAGCAATTTTGCGGTTTAATCACTTAATACTTTATTTTTTTCCATAAAAGCTTAAGATATTTTTGAAACTAATTATTTTAACCTGATATAACATAACATGCTAAAATGGTTAATTTGGAAAACTACCAGTGAAATCTGATATATATGTCGAAATGGTTAATATGGAAAAATGTCTTTTTATTTATGGTTTGATTGGAAAAAATACAATATTAGTTATTAAACCGCAAAAATTTACCAAAATATGATAAGTATTTTGTGTAATCTAGCCCAAAATTAATGAAAAATTATACTTATTAAACAAAAAAAGAATACATACATGCTCATTGAAAACACCTCCAACTCCAGATAAACCAAGAAGAACATGAGGTTTGACCTTTTTGACCTGCATAACACCATAAAATTGGCATCCCCATTTGCAAGGTATACAACTTTTTTTTTTTTTTTTCTAAAAAAGTGTTTCATATAATTAACTAAAAAAAACACAATTATTCCAAAAATAGATGTAATGTACCACTTCAAGAAGATCAGATCCCTCATGGAGACCTAAACTTTCAACCTCTCCAATATCTTTGGCAAATGGTGCAGCTGCTGAGTCAATACAACCTCTCTCCTTTGTGATCAAACCCTGCATCCAAAAAAAAAAATTAAAACTTTATATCCATAATAGCAACGTACTTACGTTTCTCTTTTTTTTTTTTTT